TCCATCCATCCATCCACCCATCCATCCATCCATCCATCCACCCATCCCCCTGTATCACCTACCCATCCACAATCCATCCATCCATCCATCCATCCATCCATCCATCCATCCATTCCTCCATCATCCACCCATTATCTGTCCACCCATCCACTCATCCACTCATACAACTTATGTATCCTGTAGGAGATAGTTACAGTGATGTCTCTTTCTCCTGTCCCCTCGTCCCTTTCTCATTCACATACACACCTACCGCCTGACAAGAGAAAACAGTAATTCTCAAAGACTGTGGAGTGAAACCCAGTGGGGCCTCTGAGAGGCCCTAGATCTACAACTGGTTGGCAGGCAGCTCTGGGATTTGTGACACCCAACATGCACACACTTTCCTTTTACTTAAGATTATATATGATTTGGGGGTGGCTTTGAGAGGACATCATTGATCCTAACACTTAAGAGAGAAATAAACATCTTACGTGGATCGTGTGCCCTGTCAGTCTGTCTGTGTGTCTTTGGCCCTGGTACCTCCTCGTACCTAAGTTCCTTTCCTTAACAACCCCCCCCCCCCCATTTGTCCCTTGTCCCTTGGGAACAGGAAATGGACCCCTGTTGGATCCTGCCACCCTTTAAGCCGAACTAAACCCCTGCCAGGACAACCAGATTAAAAAAAAAAAAAAAGATTTGGGGGGAGTGCCTGGGTGGCTCAGTTGGTTGAGTGTCCAACTCTTGATTTTCACTCAGGTCATGATCTTACAGTTCATGGGATCGGCCCTGCATCAGGTTCTGCGCTAGGTGTGGAGACTGCTTGGAATTATCTCTCTCCCCCTCTTTCTCTCTTCCCCTCCCCCATGCTCTCAGTCTCTCTCTCTCTCTCTCTCTCAAAATAAATATATAAACCTTTAAAAAACAGATTTTTGGCAACAGCAGATGAAGTTCTCGGATGGGGACTACGGTCCTCCCCAGTGCGTGTGGGGGAGGGCTTCAATCTTCCAGTGAGATCCAGATTTCAGAGGCGGACAGCCTCTTTCCAACTCTGCACTTTATAGACGAGGTTTCGGACACTTGTTGGGGACAAGATAACAGGAGCTGGCAGCACCACATCTGCATCAGCAGGTGGCCTGGGAGCGAGGGGTGCGTTGTCCTCACGCGGCCTAGATGCCGAGGACACCCAGTCCCTGCTCCTCTGGGCCTCAGGCAGCTGCTGAGCTTTGAATCTGCAGCAGCCCAGCTCAGCCACTCCCTGCTCAGCCTGGTGGCCTCGGGGGCTCAGCTTTGGCACCCGGCCCTGGTGCAGGGGGTTTGCATGCTGTTGCAACTGCTCTGGGCGTGGGGACAGGCTCCTCAGGGCAGGGAGTGGGGCCCCAGCTGGGCCTGGCAGGGAGCTGGGTGCTCAGCCTACAAGAACTTGGGGGATCAGAGGCCTGTGTCATCCTTACCTGGGAACATTACGTAAGATTGGACAAGTGCTGCTACTTGGGGAGGAGGAGAGGCCGGGTGGAAGGAAGGTGACACAGGGAGACCCAGGACCCCCCCAGGGCTGAGCGCAGGGCAGAGGCCCAGCTTCCGACTGTGACCCTGGGGGACGCAGAACCGGGAGAAAGGCCACAGCTATGCTGTGCTCCGAGTATCAGCCAAGCTCTCTGAGCTCCAGCGGCCTCCCTGCCTTCCTGCCGGGGGGAACAGGTCAAAGCCTGTGGCCTGGCTGTGGCCCCACGCCCACACAGCCCCAGAATGCTCCTCCCAGAGGATCAAGCCCAGCTTCCCACAAACCCTGCTCAGCCGACCCACCTTTAGTGTTCCCCCGCTGCCTGGGTCTCCGTGCAGCCCCTCCGGCCCTTTCTTACCTCTGGGCCTTTGCACCTGTTGTCCTCACTGCCTTCCCAGGGCTGGGATTGCAGCCCTCTGAGAGTCCGGTGAGCCCTCCAGCACCCCACCCTCCTCCCCACCGCCCTACAGGTCTGTGGTGCCCCAGGGCCCACACGATCCTGGTATGCGGTGGGCGCGGTCTCTGAGAGTCCCCTGACTTAATGACTGTGGGGAAGCCGTGGGGGCGGGGAGGAGGCAGAGAGAATTCAGGCTTTGGGGCAGACCGCTCTGCCAGCCAGGGATTAAATCCAAAAAGCAGTTTGTGCCTCAGCGTCCTCATCTGTAGCAACGGCAATTAATGTCCTCATTGGAAATGTCTCTTGGCCGCACCTCGACTTCTGAATGTCGAAGTCTCGCAGGAGACCACCGGTCGTCACGTGGCACCCAATGTGGCTTTCCCTTGGGACTTGTACAAGTAGGGCCTGCCCTAGCGGGGAAGCTGGTCGGACAGGAGTCAAGAGAGGGAATTTCCACTCTCTTTGAGAAAGAAACCCCAAACCTCAAAGGCTGGGTGGGGTGGCCCAACCCTGAGCCCCAAGTTTGTTCCCGAGAAGGCCACTTCACGTGGACTTTGTGCCAACCTGCTCCTGGGTCCCCGGAGCCCAGCAGGCCTGGCCACGAAGGGAACTGTACTAGTGACTCAGAGGGGCCCCAAGGGAATCCTGACATCCGTGTTTCGAGGCAGGGCCCCCTCAGCCCACCTTGTCCTCTAGGGTGTGGACAGAACCACAGAAAGCCTGCGAGAACACAAGTCCCTGCCCCTGCCCCGCTTCCCCACACGCTTCGGGAGCACTCCCGGGTAGAATGGCGGCCACGGCAGCGTCACAGGCACGGGGGACGGACAGCAGGCTGGGCTTGCAGGCACTGGGTGGGGGGTGGCGGCCCTGTGAGGCCAGAGAGGTGGCTGCTGGGAACGGGAGGACCTTTGTCCCTTTTGGGTACTCTGGGAACTCCGGGGACACTAGTGTCCGGCCGAGTTGCGGAGGTGGAGGCTGAGAGGAAGGCAGCGGGACACCGGCTGTCCTGGCTGCAATCTGTCCCTTGGTTCCCAGAATCGAGGCCCAGGCCCCACCAGGGAAGGTCCCGGCCATCACGGCGTCCCGTCACCTTGGCACTTGGGCTGTGGGAGCCGCGCTCTGCCAGGCAGGCAGGACGTTGGCCTCTGGGGCCCCCCGGAAGGGATGTGAGGGACAGCGATGTCGGGGGGGGGGGGGGGAATTACCAGGGCCTGCGAGGGGAGGAGGCAGGTGGGCCAGGGCAGGGCCCCGGGGCTAGGAGCAGGGAGGCCCCGAGAGAGCTGTGGGCGGGGACCTGCATGCGGTCCTGGGGAGAGGCCCCGGGCAGAGGTGAGGGAGGAGAGCTGGAGCCTCTGGCCCCTTGCCCCCCAAGAAGAGCCCCGGGTGCCCGGCTGGGCCCTGACTGGGGGTGCAGGGCGGTAGGAGTTGTGGGGCACACCGCAGGGCCGACCACAGATGCTGGGGAGCCCCACGGGAGCCCCCAGGCTGAGGGCTGGGAAGGGGTGCTGGCTTTTTGGACTCTGAGGAGAGTGCCTCCTGCTCTCTGAGTTTATGCCTGGAGAATGCCACCGCCCTCCGCAAAGTGCTCCTGCCTGGCCCCGAGGTACGGGGGACCCCCCAAAATTTCAACATCTCAGACAATGGGGACAGGATGTACAGCTTTATTCTCCTCCACGAGCTCCTAGGAGGAGGCCTTGCCGCGGGCGCCTCTGGTGGGGGGCGGGCCAGCCCCCCAGCCCAGTGAGAACACAGGCCCCACACGGATTCTGCCCCCACAGCGGCAGCCAGGGGACCATGAACAGGCCTGCCTTCGCTGGCAGGGACTGGGGGTGGGGGCGAGGCGGCCTCCTGGAAGCCCTCATCCCACGTGCTGACCTGGGGTGGCCCTGTGGGCTCTCTCGGGGTGCCTGGCTCCCAGGAGGCCCGGGGGTGGGTGCTTGTGCGGAGCGAATTCGCCCCTGAGGTATGAGCGAGCCGTGGAAGGAGTGGCGGGTCGGTGCACAGGGGAGCACAGGCGTGGCTGGTGCAGGGGACACCCAGACCTCTGACCCGCCTGCCCCGTGCGTGGTGGATCCGGGCACTCGAGGCCAGAGTGGGAGGAGCCCCCGTGGGAGGCCCCGCAATGGGGTGGAGGGTGTCAGGGAGGACCGGGGGGCCGGGACCCCGGGAGAGGGCCGAGGGTCCCTCAGAGGCGGGTTCCCTGAGGTAGGGGGGCTTCCCGCCCCGGGGTGGGAGCCTGAGGAGGGGGCCGGGCGGCCCCGGGGGAAGCAGGGAGACAGGGACTCTTCCCGCCTGCGTGGCCGAGTGCGGGGAGCGGGGCAGGCTGGCGACGGCCTGCGAGGGGCCGGGTGAGAGCCGGGCCCGCCCGTGGAGCGTGGGCTCAGCAGGCCGCCCGGAGCAGCGCCCACAGCAGGCTGACGGAGGCACTGAGCCACAGAGCCCCGTGGCTGCCCGCCAGGCCCGCGGCCGCGTTGCGGTTGCACTGGCTGCCTTGGCAGCAGGAGACAGAGAGGGTGCGGCCGTCCGAGGACATTGTGCTGTTGGGGCACACCGGGGAGCAGGACTTCATGACCAGGATGCCACCAGGGTTTGCTGTGGAGAGAGGGGCGAGGGCCGTGGGTGGAGGGCTCTGTGCGTCCCCCGCGCGGCCCGCCGCGGCCCGGGGCTGCCGGCACCGCAGGCCCCGTACGCTTCCAAGGCTCCCGGGGGCTCTGTTCTAGTGGGAGGTGGTTAGAGCAGGGGTGGGGTGGCCGGGTGGCGGTAGCCAGCCCGGGCAGAGCAGAGGGACAGGCAGGCTGCAGCGGGACGAGGAGGGTGTCGGGGGCCGGTCCCCACCCGCTCAGGACCCACCTCTGTGCACAGTCCCCCCGCCCGCACGTGGGCCCACCGGGGGGGGGGGGGGACACCAGACGCCCCAGGAGCAAATTCTCCGGTCACACGTGATGAGTGGTCACGACCGCGCTCAGCTATTACAGAACAGGGCAGTGTCCACGAACCCTGTCCTGAGCTATCGCCGAGGAGACGGGAAGGATGGGGGCAGGTGCTGCCCGGGACATTGACCCAGCGTGGCCGCCTCCTCCCTGGCCCGCCCCTCCCCCAGTATTGCCAGCAGGGGGCCAGGAGACACCTCCACCTGCTGGTGATGCTGGGAGCACACGGGCGTGACCACCGACCGGCCTCTTGGCGGCCGCGGGTCCCGTCCCCCAGTTCCTGCTCCGGGATCCCTCCTGTTCCCCCTCACGCATCAGCACCCTCCCCACTCGGGGGGCCTCTGCTCAAGGCTCCCTCTGAGGAGCACCCCCCCATTGTCATCCAGGGCCATGACCGCTCGGGGAGCACCGCCTGGCAGGACACACGGGTGGACAGACAGACTCAGCAAATGGGCAGTGAGGAGCGAACAGGAGGTGGGGTAAGGGGGGGGGCATGGGGGTCTAAAGGAAGCCCCCACCCCGGGGAGGGAACGGGGGCCCTCAGGGTGTTGGGTCCTGTCCGGGTGTGAGAACTGATGCTTCAGCGGCAAAAGGCACCCATGGGGGTGTCCCGGCATGGGGGGGACCACTGGGACCAGCTCCTCCCCAGCCCTCCCACCCACCCCTCCTGGTGCCACAGCCAGAGCCGCAGAGCACAGCCGGTGCTCAGGGACCATCGGCCAGGTGACTGAAAGAGAACACGACCTGCCTGTGTCCCACACGCCCAGGACTTGGCCAGAAGTGGGGGAGCGTCCCCTAGGCCCTGAGAAAGTGACCTGGTCCTTGGGCAGGGTCCTTCTCCGCCTGACGGGAGCAGGTCCGGGAGGCATCGAGGGGTTTGTGCTGCCTCCTCACAGCGTCCCTGCACCAAGGAGGGGTGGGGTCCAGCCAGACACCATGTCTCCCCGTAATAAGGGGGCTCTGCGTCCCATGTGGGAGGGCCTTTGTAATCATCGAGGTTCACAGGGAGCTGGGGCCCCAGCGAGGCTGCCTGGCTCATCCAGGGCATCTGCCGTGCTGCCGGGACCTCCACAGACAGGACACCAACGGGGACAGGGACCGGTGGGGGGAGGGGGCTCCTCACCCCCTCCCAGAAGCAGTCGCTCCTGCCTCCTGGACCCCGCGGGGCCACCTGCGGCCTAACCTCAGCACACATGCCTCCCCCCTCTCTCGGGGCCGCTCAGGGACCCAGTGTCTCTGCAGCATCTTCCAACCCCCCCCCCCCCTCACTTCAGGGTCCCACCCTGTGCCTGCTGCCCCTGCAGGCCAACTTCCCCACTGCCCTGTCTAGTGACCCGGTCAGGCTTCCCACCCCTCGGGGCCACCACAGCGACCGGGCCCCTCACCTCCCTGCCGTGCTCAAACTCCCACCATGTGACCTTCTGTGGCCCCCCCCCCCCCACACCCTGACCCCGCCTGCCAAGGTCACCATCAAGCACCACTCGAGAGCTCGGGGCCCCAGCCCAGCCCTTGACGGCTCAGGGAAGAACCAGACCCACAGAGGGACTTGGGAGGTCAGAGGAAGGAGGGAGCCTGTCCTGGGGGTCCGGGCACGGGGGCGGGGGGGTCGTCTGCTGGAGGCAGGCTACAGGTGCGGCCGGGAAAGGCAGGGTGATGGTGACGGGCCTCGGGGCCGAGGCCGTGGGTCCTGTCATGATGCCATGGGCCGGGCTGCCCCACAGCCCTGTACCCCGTCCTGTCCTCCAGGCGCCGGCCTCCCTCCAGGCCCATTCTTGCCGAATCCCTGTGCGGCCTGCTTCCTCCCGCACCTCTCACGCGGACTCCCTCTGACTCAAGCGGGAAGGCCACATCTGGCCTTGCTCTGCGGTGTCAGTGTCGGTCGGGGTCGGGGTCGGGGTGTCGCTGGGCTGCTCCTAGCCCACCTCCCACCAACACGGAGGCGGGGTCCGGCAGAGTGGGCGGGTCCCTACCACCTCCGGCACCGCAAGGGGGCCCCTGGCCGGGCTGTGGGGGTGCGTGCGGGGTACTCACTGGCCTGCGTGATCACACAGTACTTGTCAGTTGGGGCGCACTCCACCAGAGACTCGCAGTCCTTGTGGCCACAGCACACGTGACAGTGAAGGGCCCGGGCTGGGGGGAGGAAGCAGGGACCCCTGTCAGCGTGGGCTGGGGAGAGCCTGGGGGCCATGTCTGGCCCTCTCTGAGCCTCCGCCACCCCCCCCCCACCCTCCGGAGGTGCTCCCGGTCCCTGGGGACGGGGCTAGAGACTCGGCAGGCCCGGTCAGCAGGAGCGAGGGGGCCCTGGGACGGAGCAGGGTTAACTTCGGGGGGGGGGGGGATCTGGGCTCTGCTTCTCACTGCCGCTGCCCCTCTCTGAGCGACAGAGTCCTCCCTGTGAGATGGGACCGAGCACAGCCTGAGGCTGCCCGGATGACAAGTCACAGGCTCTTGGCCCCTGCCCCACCCTCCTGTGCTGGGGCTCCCGGCCTGCACCGCGGCCTGGACCCGAGGCCAGCGGGGGCTGGGAGGGTTTTGCGCACCGTGGGCACCCAGGGCTGCTTAGTTAACAGGAGGGAACAGCCCTGCCCTCCCTGCCTGGGGCCTGCCAGCGGCCCCTACCCCAGACTGATCAGTGGACAGTCCACAGCAAAAGGCCCTGGTGACCCCCGCCCCGTGCACTGTGACCGGCCCCAGGCCCCGACCACAAGGATGCAGGACAAGGCTCCTGGCCTGGAGGAGCCTGCAGGCTGCCTGGGGGGTGGGGGCGGCCAGCTGAGGTTGGGATGGAGTGGGGTGAGTGAGATAGAGTGACACTTTGTGGGACACCTGGCCCAGGTGTCTTCATAGAGGGAGGGGGCCATCTGGGAGGGTTTCCTGGAGGGGGTGCCCCTGGAACTGCGAAGGGGCCATTGGGTAGGTGGGAGAACCAGGGTGGAGGGGCACGTGCTGCAAGAAAGGGCACGTCTATGCCAGGCCTGGGGGCTGTGGTGTGCCCGCTCCGACATCAAAGCCGGCACCTGTGGAGGGGAGTGACAGCATCTTCCACACACGGCTCAGCAGACATCAGGGACCCCTTCCCCTGGGGAAGGGGGGACACTTGTGGCTGAACCACGGGTGATGAGGTCAAGCTCAGACAGACCCCAGGCTCAGAGGCTTTCTTCCCAGGATAGGACTCTGGAACACCCCCAGGAAAAAGAGGCATCTCTGGGGGTGACCCCTGGCTGTTGAAATGCTCCTGTCTGCAACTGAGTCTGGTTGGGTGGGGGGGGGGGGGGACACTCCCAGCTTCCTCTGAACTAGAAACTCACATAGCTTCTGTTTCCCCCTCAGGGGTCGGAGAGTCCCTGTGTGGGGGGATCTCCACACTGGGGAGGTCTCACTGGGGCCTCCGGGCAGCCGCCCCTCACCGTTGTGCCAGCCTCTCTTCTGACAAACACCTTGTCCCCTGCCCCGTCCCCAGAGCCAGCCTCGAAGCTTTGCCCAAGTGTCCCCTCCATCTGTGTTTCTGGCCTCCTCGGGATGGGCCTGGTCTCCGAGGCGCCTCTGTCTCTGCCTTCCCCCCAGGCGGTTCCCTAGACAGGCTGGAGGCCCCAGCTCTCCCACCTCCACTCAGGGCATGTGGAGGGGGCTATTATCCCTGGGTGGTAATTATTCAGCTGCTAATCACAGGCTGGATCACCCCCTCCCCGGGGCCCCATTTCCGGTGGCCCCAAAGCAACAGGTGCTCTCGTTCAAGGTCACACAGCCAGCAAGAGGGGTGGGAGTGACCAACTCATTTCCCTGATTCCAGCACCGAGAGTCCTGCCTCCCAAGAATCCCCTTTGTCCAGGAAAACAGGACACTGGCCTCCTGGCTGGTGGCTGGTCCCCCTGTCGGCCCAGAGCTCTGCAGACTCAGGCCTGTCACCGGCTCTTTCACCCACGAGAGGCAGATATACTAGAAACTATGCCCAAAGGGACACAAAGGTCTCCGGGTTTCCCCCCGCAAAACACACACACACTCCTCAGGGGGAAGCCACGCCCAGCAGCGGTCTGTCCCCAACCCTCCCACCCGGGTCAGTGGTTCTTACCCAGGTCAGTGCACAGAGCAGCCAGAAGCAGAAACACCAGGAGTGGCCTCATCGTGGGGCATCCACCGGCTGGGACTGGGGAGCGGCCGGCACCAGGTGCCTTTATATGACTGGCTTCTTCGCCGGGTCAGACCTAGTAATTTAGCTGGAGCTGAACTTGGGACGGCAGAGCCAGCCTGACTCACGCTGCCTGGGCTCCCCTCTGCCCCACCCCCAGGGCTCCAGGGGCTCTCAGGTCACCTGTGCCCTCTCTCTGCCTGCCTCCCTGTCCCGAGCCTTTGGCCTCCCGGTCCCTCGAGGTATCGTGAGGCCCCAGGCCCAGCTGGGGAGAAGGGAAGGTCTCGATGGTCTATGGGTGACAGCCCACGCTTGGGGCCTGGGGGACACAGCCCTGCCTGGGTCTTCCGGGTAAGCACAGCCATTTCTCTTGTGTCTCTCCCCTGGCCAGGCCAGGCCAATCAGGGAGGCGCCAAGCCCATTTGAGTGGGGACACTGAGACACTGCATGCTGAAGCCTGGCTTTGGACCAGTGCGTCTCAATTTTTGTGTGCGCACACATCACAGGGACCCTGGCAAGATGCTGAGTCTGAGGCCCTGGACCCTGCATCCCTGACCAGCTCCCGGAGAGGCTGGTGCTGCTGGGCTGCAGGGATGACCGAGCAGGGGTGGGCAGGGCCAGAGGGGCCCAGCATCTCAGATGGCACTGAGCCACTGCCCATTGGCCTCCAGGCCGGGCTTGGGGGACCCTGAATGACAAGGGTGCCCTGGGAGGATGCAGGGACCAGCCTGGGCACAGCGGGTTGCCCCCAGTTGCTGTTTTGGGGTCTGGCTAGGGTTCCAGAGGCTGAAGGTTGGAGCTCACACCTCCTGGTGTCTCCACTGCGTCCCTTCCGCGGGCCCCCAGCCTCTCTCTTCTGGCGGCTGGAGTCCCCTCCCCAGCGACCAGAGCCTCCCTTCCAGATGCAGTTCCGACCGTGTCACAGTCCGCCAAGAGCTCTGCCTCGCCTGGCCTCCCCTGTGTCCTCCAGCCTCCCCGCCCTCCCCTCGGCCTCCAGAGTGAAGCCACATGCCTCCATGCCCTCACCCGGGCCCGGCCTGATGCCCGGAACACCCTTCCCTCCTTTCCTTCCGAGGCAGAATCATTATCTTTGTCCGGAACATTCTTAGACCCACTATTCCTGCCTGTGCCCTGGCGGCGCCTGCCTGGAGCCCGTGTCCTTCCCCAGGTCCCCCGCAGGGCCTCTGCTCCGTCACCCACGGAGGCTGGGCCAGCTGCTCACCCCTAGAACCAGGTGCACAGGCCGGGAGCCACGTGCATGGACGTGGGGGCCTGGCGGTGCAGCAGGGGTCAGATCCGCGCTGGGACAAGCTCTCTCCACACCGTCGCCGCCTAGCAAAGCGTCAAGGAGCCTGGAACACTGATATTTCATATTGGCTGTTTTTAAACTTTGTGTAGAGCTTTCTCAATTTTAGAGGTATGGTGTGTGGGGTCCCATCCGCCACGGTCCCCAAAAGACCGGGGTGGGCTCACCCTTATCAGGAACCTGCTGAGAGTGTCGCGAGGGCGCAGCAAACGCACGAGCTGCAGTCGCTGCGTCCGGAACGAGGGCACATCAGCGTGCTGAGAAGGGACGGGTAAGGCCCGCGCAATCCCGGGGTTGACTCCGTGGTTGACTCCGTGCATCTCGCCCCGTCTACTCTACCCCATCCACGCCTCCCATACCCTCTAATACGCTGCACGGCATCTACCGTACTCCTCCCACCTTCATCTGCCATCAGAGCTGGGTCACCTTCTGTGGCCGTGGCCCGTGACGGTTAGCTGGGCTTTGCCCAGCAGCACCTGGCTTCCTTGGCCTGAACCCCTGCCCTGCGTGAAGCGGTCATGAGATAGAGACCGGACTCCGAGGACCGAGCTCCTTGCCAGATTTCACTTCATCCAGACCTCAGGCCTGAGAAAGTTCTCTCCTCTGCTGCGAGGGTTACAGGACTGGGAAGGGTGCTATAGAGCCCAGACTGGTACCAGGATATCAGAGCGTAAGGCAGGTGGCTGGCCCTAGATCCAGCTCAGAGGCCAGCGGGGAGACGCCGGGTGAGCGCCCAACGGCCAATAGCACCCTCTAGTTTTCTAGCAGGGCCCAGTCTGCGTTCCAGGGAGGGGGATCCCCTCCCTACAAGTGCCAGCTGCCAGCGGTCTTTGGGTGACGCCGACCACGGCCAGCCCCTCCTCTCACTGAACTCAGACCTGCTTGTCACCTTTGTGGCACCCCCAGGCCCCAGGTAACGCCGCCTGGGCCTCTGTGCTTGTCTGAGTGTGCGGCTGGACAGCTGTGGGTGGGGAGGGAGCCTGGGACTCTGGGATCCCCCTGTCCCAGGTCACAGACGATCGTTGGTTCCACAGCTCTGATTCCTACTGAGTGTCAGGCTCGGGCCCTTGGTGCAGGGGTACAGAAATGCGGGGCCGAGTGTGGGCTGGTGGACCCACACTAAGAGAGATCAGCCAGCTCAGGTGGTGGGCACCCCGTGCCCGGCCTGGTTCTATCAATGCCAGTGGCCGCTACCTGGAGAGGTACCAGGTGAGAGCTGCATTTTGAAGTAGGGCTGAAGGGAGGGGACCCTTGAAACTAGAGGAAAAGCCAATGCAGAGGAGCCGGCTGAGCCAGGGCGCCAGGGCCCCAAACTCGCCACGCAAGCAAAGTGGGCTGCACCCTCCCCAGCGGGCACAGCGTGGCTCAAACTGGGGTCCGTATTCCTGGGGATCTGTGAGTACTTTCCCCTCTCATAGGGCCACCTGGGGAACGCGGAACCTCGTGCATCTCAAAAAGTCTTTGGGGCAGAGGTTCTGCAGCTCAAGGGGTGGGAGCCCTGGGAAGGGCCTGCCTATCTGGGGAGCCATCCTTCAAGGACGGAGCGAGGTGGGGGGGGGGTGGACCTACCCCCTCATTGAACTAATTGGGCTCCTGAAACTTTACAAGCTGGGTGTTCTCCAATTAAGGTCCAGACTCCCACCCCCGACGGCAGGGATGCATGGCTTCCCTCTCCTGGCGTAGAACTCCACTCCTCAGAGTGGCTGAGAGAGAGAGACGTGGGCTTCCTGTCCCACAGGTGCGTAGGCAGGTGAGGGAACTGGGGCAGCAGGTGAGGCCGTGGACTTGCCAGGACAGAAGAACTTCATCCCACCTTCCAGGGAAAGACCTTGGCCCCCGTTAGGAACCCCCAGACCTCCCCGCGAACCAGAGGCAGAGTCCTGCCCCTGACGCCCCCTCCCTCTCTCCTACCCTGTCCTTGGCTCCTTCTTTCTACCCTGCCTCTTACCCCTCTTCCCTCCCATGCTGGGAAGGAAGGGAAGAGGACCCAGAATTCGAACGGAGGCCCCTCCCTGTTGGGCAGGGGCCGGGAAAGGGGGGCTCGTGTGCCTCCATTAGCCAAAGGGGACTCCTGTGCTCCGACCCTGGTCACGCCCTAAGCCCTCATCATGTTCACGCCCTGAGCCCTGACCCTGACGAAGGGGTTCAGGACAGTCCCCACCCCCTCCTCCCCAGCCATTCGTATCACTCTGACCCCTGGATTATTTTGAGCTAAAGGAACTTGAGACCCTGAGGGCTCGCGAGCACTTTTGCCCCTCCCTTAACTACATAGAGGAATGTAAATTGGGCGTCTTTCCCAAAATGAGGGTTATTAGCAGACATACGTTTTATCTGAGTGACCCATCTGGATGGTAAGGCAAACATCTAATTACCAAACATCACCCCGTGAAACGCATTCTTTCCTTCTGAAATCCCAGACCCCCTTCTCCTCAGGTCAGAGTGACATCCGCCTTTGCAATTTCCGTGTCTTTGTGGATTCTCCCTATGGAATTCGATTTTCTCCGGTTCATCTGTCTCAGGTAGATTTGATTCCCGATGCAGCTAAAAGGGTCCTGAAGGGAACAGGACTTCTTGCTCTCCGTGAAGGGGTGAGGCATTCTCGCTCCCTGACGCCGGTCACATACTGAGCCCGGAACCTGGCCACACTCTGAGCCTTGACCCCCTTCACGGGCTGAGCCCTAGCCCTGGCCACAGAGAGGAGAAGCTTCTCTGGTCTTGGGACCTGCAACCAGGGCATGGGAAGAAGCAAAGAAAGGCCGGCTTGTCTGGGGCGGAGGGGACCCCACAAAGGCCTTTCACAGCAGCTGGAGGGGGCCGGCTGGTGAGACTGAGTGCTCTGAGCAGAAAGTTTGGTGTTTTGAGTCATTCTGGCCTCTTCCCTCCCTGGCCCTGGCCCCGCTGCCTTCCACTTTCCTACCGCAGGGAGAATACCAGCTTCTCTGTATCCACCCTGAGGGACCCCAGCCTCAGGGTTTGGGGTGCTCTGCGAGTGCACGCACAAGCACAATGGGCTGCTTGTCGGGACATGCCCCAGATGGCCTCTCTGAGAGGTCAGACTGTGACGGGGGTGGGGGGGGGGGGGTGGTGGCGGGGCGGTGGAAATTCCTTCTGGGTGCCCGGGGGTGGGGTGTCTGCTGCTCCAGTTCTGGCCCGTCTGGACAGCAAGGAGCCAGGATGCAGGGACGCCCGATGCCAGCCCGGGCAGCTGGTACTTCCCAGGAGCCACAAGATGGCAAACTGGATAAACAAGGATGCGCCCCCTGCCGGCGCTCCGCGGGGCACACCTGACGGCCCGGCCTGCCCTCCCCTGCAGATGGGGCCCCACAGCCAGCTTCCCAGAAAAAAAGGCACTGGCAGTGAGCCAGGAAGAGTGCACGGGCGCTCGCTGGCTGGGGCAGGGGCCGAGGCGGACCAGGAGGCCGTCTCAGGGAGCGTGTGCCTCTCCCTCTCAGGGTGCTCTTGAGTTCTGTCCCAGCAACTTGATTCGGAAGTCACGGCACTCTCTGGGCAGGGGCTGGCCGTGGAATTCTATGTTCCATCATCCTGGTGCCCAGGGATCGTGTCATGAGCACGCTGTGAAGGCGCACACACGGGTTGTGTCTTTCCACAGTGACGGCTTTATTCAGTCACCCAACAAGGCTGACGCCATCATAGAGCAGGTTCTGGGTTCCAAACTCAGGGACACTTCCCCACGTGATTAACTTGGCTTCTTCCACGGCACCTGGAGCAGAACACGAGACAGGCCACACGAC